CTTTTAGTTGATGTGCGTTGTGATATGTTTTTGTTTACTGTTCTTGTTGTTGTTGTTTTTTTTTCTTTTTGTTTTTGCTAAAGTTTTCGAGTGCAGAGTCATTTCCTCTGACATTATTCGGACACAATGGATGCATTTGTGAACACGGGTCAGCGTTGATGGCACGAGACGGGTGAGAATAAAAATTTGTTGCATTCAAAACATTTCGGTCGCAAAGTGTTTTTTATCTGTTGATGTCTCCAAGTAGTGCAAGGTGTAATGGAGTCGAAGCAAATTTTTCATATTATTATTAAATTTCGTTATTTTACACTGTTGTTTAAAAAATTTGAAACAGAAACCCAATATTTATCCAACAGCTGGTTTTAGTAATCACGCTGAACCGACGAAAGCGGTGGTCAAGCTAGAATTGATGGTCAGGAAGGTTTCTCCCCAAGTCGGTTTTGATCGGCTAGGTTAGGTATCATCTACAATGAACTCCTCCTACCCCACTAAACACATAAATAGGGCCAGTATTGTTAACAAATGAACGACTGAAGGCAGTAATTGATCAGCACTGTCCGGCTTTGATTAATAGGATACCAATTATGTTCCATCAGAACAACGTCAAGTCACACACGTCGCTGGTCACCAGCTAAAAGTTCCGGGTACGTGGTTGGAAAGTCCTTATGTAGCTGTATTGTCCGAACTTCGATCCAAGTGAGTGCGTTGTTCCACTTTCTAAATATGGCGAATGTTTTTGTGGGTGAAAAATTTGACTTAAGAGAACCGAAAATCGAGTGTCCTTGCCATTGGGACAAAGCAGCGTGGGTCGATGGATTGCCGGTCGAGCTATTCAAACACGGCAGCGAAGAACTGAGAAGGAGCATGCATCAGCTTCTTTGTAAAATATGGTCGGACGAAAATATGCCCAACGTTTGAAATTTAAGTGTGCTCTGCCCAATCTATAAAAAGGGAGTCCCCATAGACGAAATGTCTTCTGTCATCAATTAAATAGTCTTCGTACTCCCACGTCACTGTTGACAGTCATAAATGCGAAATCGTAGATAACTTCGTCCGTCTTGGAACCAGCATTAACACCAACAACAACAACGTCAGCCTCGAAATCCAACGCAGAGTAACTCTTGCCGACAGATGTTACTTCGAACTATGTAGGCAATTGAGAAGTAAAGTTCGTTCCCGACGAACAAAGACTAAGTTCTACAAGTTACACATCATACCCGTCCGCTATAAGGTGCAGAGGCATGGACGATGACAACAACTGTTGTGAGTTTTCGAGAGAAAAGTTCTGCGAAATATTTGTGGCTCTCTGCGCGTTGGCCACGGTGAATATCGCATTCGATGCGAAGATGAACTGTACGAGATATATGAAGACATTGACATAGTTCAGCGAATTAAAAGACAGCGGCTACCATGGCTAGGTCATGTTGTCCGAATGGACAAAAACACTCCAGCTCTGAAAGTATTCGACGCAGTATCCGCCGGGGGAAGCAGAGGAAGACCTCTCCTCCGTTGGAAGGACTAGGTGGAGAACGACCTGGCTTCGCGCCGCGTAGCGAAGAGAAGAAACGACTGGCGCGCTGTTGTTAATTCGGCTATAATCCCATAAGCGGTGTCAACGCCAATAAAGAAGAAGAAGAACTTTTGCTACTCGCTTATGCAAGAACTTTAAAGAAACTGTCTGCAATAGCTGACATACTCACATGTTTTACAAAATTTGCATATATGAAACAAAATTAGCTCTAATTTTCAATAATACTCAAACGAAAATCAGAAAAAGTTAAATAACGGTAAGTATGAAATGTGCGCATTCCACATGTCCATGAAAAAGAAATAGGAATTTTTATTTACGCCATGCTGTAGGGCAAGCAACCTACAGACATTTTTGAAATATTTATCGCTCAACACTCATTTCGGCGGTAGTCCCATATCATTCACGCTGACATTTGGCATTTGCACATTTTCCCCATTTTCACTTTTGACATTTGGCGACATTCGCTCGCATTGAGCTCATTAGCATTACACGCTCGGCGACGGCGGCGGTTTCGGCGAGTTTCACGAGTGCATATAGCATAGAATGCGGTGCTTTACGATCGCCAGCCAACGCCGTTGACCCGCAGCCAGCGAAAACGGCGAGTGCGTCGCAAATTGCGCTAAATTGCAATGAATGTGGTGTGGTGAGTTGTGGTGTATTGTGGTGGCAGCGGCTCGGCTTGGTGGAATGGCACAATGGCGGTTCATTTCGCTATGTCGGCCACGGAAATCATTTAACTTTCCGAAATTGAAATTGGAAATTTGTGCGACCACAATTGCTGCAGTTTCTAAACTCCAGTTCTACGCTGACGTGGCACGAACTTGCACATAGCTGTGGCAACATTATCATATTTGCATTATTAACTTTTGCCGGGTTCACCATTGTCGCAGTTGTTGTCGGTGTTTGTTGTGTGCACACCTGTTTGACAAATTATCGAATGCAAACAGCAGTAGCTTTACCATATATCTTTATGTAAATTTATGCTTGTAGGTATGTAAATATGTATGTATAGTTATACTTCACTGCCGCAATCGTGAGTTTATTACGCTGTCGACTCCTTGTCAGCTGTGCGAATGACTTTATTCCCCTCGACCATTTGAATTGGCTCTTTTATATGTAAATGTGTATGTATGTAGGTATGTATGTACATGCTCTCAATTTTTAATATAGAGCGCACTTTAACTTTCGCTTTAATTTGCTAGCCACCTTCTTGCTGCACTTGCATATTAATTAACCTCGTCACCGGCAATATTCCATTATGTCGTATATACAGTCATGCTAATTAGTATGTACTCACCTGATTCAATAGATTAAATTTCTAGCTCTTGCAATTTAAATTTCGTGTACCTGGACTGAGTAGCAATCTGATTAATGACATTAACTCTGTCAATTATATGCATAAATAAGTTAAAAAATCATATTTTTTTGAATATATTGCAAGTAAAAATAATTCGTTAGATATAGCAGGAGAAAAATCGTGCGCCAAGAAATATGTGACTACTGCACACTCTTTTTTTTGCAGGTGAGGGGGTGGAAATGTCTTCCTTAACCTTACTGTTGTCGTCACAGCCACTTGCAGGTCCCTAAAAACCCCCTTTTTAAGGTACCGTCGTCCACCCTAGAACCACATTTGTATTACTTCAGGGCGGCGTTTCATTTTGCTCATTGAGAGACTTACATCTGCACATCTATACACAGTTCCCGATTTTTGCTGCGATCCCCCAGTTGCTTCAGTCTCTAGCATCACGCTGATCAAATTGTGCGTATTGATTGAGCCAACCAGGTTTTCTACGGCGGTATGTGGGTTCAGCATCGTCTTTTGTCGCCCCATTGTATAAATATGCCAGCCCCTTCTGTGGAAGTAATTTTTGAAGTATTCGTGGCCGGTTAATAGCTGGATTGGACAAAAGTCCACTTATCCGAATTTACGGCTTGTCCATGAGTTTATTGTTTTTTTATTAGTCTGCCGCGACTCTTCTTCTCCCATCTTTGTTGCCATGTTGTTACTGTGAATACAACTTGAATTTCTTTATATGGAGTATGAAAAACTATTATAACCAAATAAGTGATTAGCATTCTCAATTCTTATTAATATGCCTAGATATGCAATGAATTTCCAAGATCGAAACTGTTGAAATATGGCATCAAATACCGTATGATCAAATTTGACCCGGACTGAAAACAAGTTTTCACATATTTTACAACATTTCTTAATAAATAATAAGAACATGTTAACGCTTTTAGTAAATGTAATGTCCTCAGGTAAGTTATCAAACATGTCTATTGTGACCTCTATCAGGAGGGGATCCAGAAATAGTTTCTGGAGGGTAATAAATATTTGCTTGAAACATGAAGAGCGTTCAGAACTTGCATTCGTCACAGAAAATCTGCAGAATATGCGAAGAACAGTATGAATTATGAGATATAGCTCTATATCGCAGTTCTTCAACCTATCTAATGCAGTAGTCAGGAACTTGTTGTTTTTTGACCTTTGATTCTGCCCACAAAGGCACTGACGGTGATCAAGTTCACTTTGTCATTATCCAAAAGGATTTTGAATATACATATCTATTAAGCGAACTCTATAATCTTCGTCGATTGTGTTCAACAGAGGAATGTACATTTATTAATAACATAATCTGCATACTTTGCTACACTTTGTGACTTCGTTGGTACCTTAATATTATTTATTAAATTATACTCAAAAATGGAGACAGTCTTTAATTTTGTTTCTGAAATAAAATGGCAAATGTCTGGATCATATTTCTATTAGTAAAATACTATTAGAGTAGTAAAAGTACTAATAAGCCATTTAGCCATTGGGAGGGAAAATTTCCCCCATTTTCCTCCTCTGAATCTGTTTTTTTAATATTTTTGAAGTTAGTGCTATGAACGGAGGTTGATGAATGACTGGAATGATGATTGTGTTGTGCTACTCAAACACTTCGTTCGTTGTAAATGTAAATTCCCAAAAATTATTATTATGTTTTGACGTGGTTTGGGGGTTGGTGGAATCTCGGTCCATATTTCTTCTAAACGATGCCGTTAAGAACGTCACTGTCAATGACGACCGTTTTCGCGCAATGATAACCGACTATTTGACGCCTGAAAATGAAGGTTTTCTTGGTGGTGGTAGTCCTTCTTGCTAGTAGGTTGTTGGTCATTATTCACTATTTCGTTTTAGATAATTTTGCTTCTATGTAATGAATCGATACTGATACATGGGACAATTATTATGAATACTAATAAATATACTTTATAAATATTTTATAAAGCTTTCCATGGTTTACATGTCTTTTTTTTTTCTCACGGTTGGTCATTACTGAAAATTTTAACTCTTTATTGGACGGGTGTGGTTTTTATGTTTATTATGTACATACAATGAATTTAAAGTTTTACTTTACAATTATTAAATCTGGTTCATAAAACATATCTTCAGGCGCTAAGTCATCATTTAGATTAAAAAGTGTTTTTTTCTTATTGGTGATAGTCCTTCTTGTGAGTAGAATGTCGGTTTTCCATTTCTTGTGGTAGTGGTGATGGTTTTTTACATCTTTATCGGTATGAATTGATCGTCATTTTGTAAAAATTGTGCAGCGGCCAACTGTAAAGAGGAAAGACTATAAACTTAATTTTTAGAAGAGTAATATAGAATATCTACCTGAATAACCGTCATGGCTACGACCAAGGCTAATATCGCATTCTGCATCATTATACACTTTTACGTTTTGGATGGTTTTGTAGCTGTATGAAATAGTGATAAACTGTACTAACATCAATAGGTAACTTATTCAGCATTTTATATGTTTCTTCGTAGTTCACATCTCGTAGAAGTCTTT